AAGGGGCCCTATTATTCTCATTACTTGTTCATAATTATATGTTGTGCCTCTACTGTGATGACTGCCTGAGTAGATTTCCTTATTACTTTCCACCATTGTTTAGGACCTCATGGATTCACCTTGTTTGAAGAGGCCTGCTGCTAATAGGCATTTCTCTTTTTAATTAGAAGGTCTATGAGACAAATATATTTCTAAATCCTGTGATTAAGGCATTTTAAGTGATCAATTACTAGGACCCAGCTTGTTAGGCTCACAGTGGCAGATATATGATATGAACTTCTGAGACTGCATTCTTATAAGGAGCTACTCAATATAGGAAAACATATGAACTGTGGCTTGCTTATTAAGCTTAACTAAGTGTTGTATCTGCTTAGTCAGCATGTTTCCTGCTTTGGTACCATAACGTTAAATTCTTCCACCTCCTCCCTTTTGTCCTATAAAAGTTTAACTGACTTGTAAACCACGTGCAAAATCAATTAGACATCTTGTTGACTCCTTCCCACAATCACTTACAGAGCCGCAGCAGCAGGCTTTTTAATGGAAGAGACATGGAAAGGTTGACAGTGGTGATAATTAATTTTTATTAGAAACAGCATGTAAACACTGAAATATATAACGTTCTAATGCACAAGCCTTTGTTGGCTTCAAACTGAAGTGTGTTGAATGACACGTGTTTCTTGATAATGGACGTACTCAAGTTGCATAAAAGCATTTCAATGGGAAACATTAAGGGAGCAAAAATCCTTAATGACCAAAGCCTGTTTCTTATTTCTTGATTTGTTCTAAACTTAGATGCAGCGGTAGATTTTCAAACATGAATTGAGCTACTTTGTTCACCTTTTAGAGATGTTGAAGTTGTTATTATTCGAGTTCAACAGGTGGCTTTGGTCTAAATTCCTTTCAAATTGAGCCTCTAGAATTCGCATGAAATCCAGGTCTCGGCTTCAGTTAAAGATTTGACGTCTGGATCACAGCAAGCAGTAGAAGTAAAGTATAAATAAGAGGTTAAGACTTGAATGGATCTGACAAAGTTTATATTTTTGGTCTGAGTTAAATATTCATGCTATTTCATTTTGATGTTATTATCTGGAAATTAGCTAAATATATCCTCTTTAAACAAGGTGGGGTATCTCTTCAAAGGACCAAGTAAAACAAAAGAACATCACCCCTTCATTGCTTGTTTACAGGTATTTTTCCATGCAGTATTTTTGTAGTCCAAGCTAAAGATGATCTAAGCTTGCTGCAAAAACTAAGGCTTGTATCTCTTCCTAAGAACATATTGATACGTTGTTTTTGTAGCTGTTGGGCTAGGCAGCGGTGTGTCATTATATAACTTCAAATCCTCATCTACATTTTAAAACATCATTTAAACTGCGGAGATATTTCACAAATCCATCTGAAGCCAGACCTCGGAGCTAAGCAGAAATGATGTTGAGCGTCAATAGAACCGGAGCCACAATGTCTATTCACATTGAAAGAGAATAAGATAATAGTTCACTATGGTTCTGCGCCAAAACAGTCAGCCAATATCCTTTTGTTCAACTTTGAAGCCTGTGAAGAGGGGGGCAACATCCTCCAAAATAGCAATATCCTAGTCAGCCGTGTGTGTTTCATTCTGTTTGTACTTTTAGAAAATGTTACGTAAAAGTGAAGGAGGGGGGGATAACATATGTAGGATGCAGCTTGCGCATTATTTTAGACCTGCTTTCATTAGAGTGAGAGGAACTCTGAAAGGGTAATACAGCCTATGTGTGCGTAATTGCATAATTTGCATTAAATGTGTGTGTAGGTGTTTCTGCTGGTGCCATTGTGCCTGTGCCAAGGAGGCTTTGGCCTGGACAAACAGTCACTGACACAACACCATGCAGGAGGCAGCATGCCAGTGCTCTCCCACCAGGGCTGTAATTGACTGTCTACATTGAGTCCATTGCTTTAAAGATCAGTGTTGCAGCAAGAGACTGTAGAGGAGAGATGGCACAGGCGCAGGGAGTGGAGGCACAGAGGATTTTAGGGAGGAAATGTCCACTTTTTTTACATTTTTACCATTAAAAGACACCGATTAGAGCAGATTTAGAGGTTTACAAGGGCTTCTGGATCCACACGCCGCAATTAACAATTTAACTACACCCAGAGTGGTTAACAGTCCGCTTTACAAGAGCTCCAGTCTAATGCACATTACTGCAGCAAAGCTAAGCAGGGATAACTCACAGTCTCTATAAAGGAAGAACATGACTATCTTCATTAGTTCAACTTTCTCGGGTTTGGAAATTGAATTTTTCTTGCTTATTTATTGCAGGAAGATGACAAGATGTTTAGACGAGAGCTTAAGGTTTAGTATGCAAGGCGGTGGGTTCTCAGGTGGATGCACAGAAGCCTCCAGAGTCTCACCGCCAGCAGACAGCTAGCTCCAGTTTGACGATAGCAGCCAGAGCCCTCTGTGGCGCTGTCTGTGGTGCTGAGGGCCAAGAACTGGTGCTGAGCTTCTGGACGGTTATGGCTAGAAAGGATCCGTCTTGTGTAAAACTCTCGCGAGAGTTTGGCTGAATGTCACGTGGCTGAATGTTTACGTTTGGCAGGCAGCCTTTCAGTTACGATCGTTAACATCAGTTGGCCACAGCAAATGATGGTGAGAAGCTAAACTATCTATTAATTATGTCAATGACAGGGAGTGTGATTGTTGAAAAGCGGTCTTGCTGGTGTTCAAAGAAGAATGACAACACTGTAGATCACCAACACTATGGTTTATTTTTTATTCACAGGCAAGTCAACGTTGTCGCAGTAAAAGTCCCAAGATAGCTCCTGGTGCAATAAAATGTCGGACGTGGCGGAGGGGGGGGGCTAGAAATCCCTGACCTCCCACTCATCTCTCCGTTCTCTCTCCCAACACGTAAAGACTGTGAAACCACTCTAGGACGTGTGTCTGTTGTATAAGTATTTTTTTTGTTTTTTTTTCATGCCATGTTGCTCACGAAAACGTACTATCCAGTAGAAATTCAATCTAATTATATATTTACTTTCATTCGTTCTCTATAATTAGATATTTGATACCTCTAAAGATTTGCTTAGGGATTGACATATTAAGAATATTCTAATCCACTGATATTATGTAATTTTCATAAGGTCTTCGAAAATATCAGTTAAACATGTATCTATTGTTCACATTCAGATAATGTACTTGTTAGAATCAGTGTACCGAGTAGTTGTTGTCTACTTGGTTATTTGTACTAATTATTCTACGGTCTATGTTTGTATTTGATCAGTGGAGTATATCCTGTTATTCTATAATATTGGTGTCGAGTCACCTTGCTTTTGCATCTTTATGTACCATTTAACTCTGTTTCTTCGGTCCTTGCAGGTGTACTCGTCTTATCATGTACCGCAGGTCCAGGTCAATTCCCTAAATACGTATCTTTTCTCTTTTTTTCATATCACATTTATACTGCAGGTGCTTAAGAGCAAACGGATTGAGAGAACATTAGTTCTCGCCAGCCCTTGGAGATGTGTTTTTTTTTTTTGTTTCTTTCGTTATTTGTGTATGTGTAATATCGTCAGTCGTTATATTAATCTCTGTAGTCTGTATCCATTGTTG